TTAATTTCTACATTTTCTGACATTGTTCTATGGACGATACCCTGAATTACTATGCTATTCAAATTAAATCCCCAAGCATAAAAGCATTTTTGTAAATAATGCAGCTGAGGTTGTATAATAATGCATTTGATGTTGCTTCATATGAGACTAGAAAGCTCTTGTGATTTTGTTTTTATTGCAGGAGGCTAAATAATAACCAAAATAAGAGCCATTTGCTCAAAGCTTTTCATTTCACAAAGAACATAAAAATACAGAATTCCCATCTAGTTTGATAACATGGCATCTTTTAATGCCTCCACTCTACAGATGAGAAATCAAAGACAGGAATACGCTGTGACGTATGAAAGCATTTCAGGCTTTACAAAATGACAATGGGATTTAAAGTCAGGTGCTTTGACACTGACACAGTTTTCTTCCCAAAATACCACAGTTGGTATTTATATCACTTTGGATACATTTGTCTGCCAGCAAAGAGAGCCCCACCAAAAGATCTGTGTAAAAATGGCACAAGGTGTCTGATTTGGGCCAAGGTGAAATAGCAATGATGGAATTTGCTCTCCTGCATTTAAAAATTGTGAAACTGGACACACTGTGTGAAGCGTCTGTTTGGGGATGATAGATACAGACACCACAGAGGGAGAATTCCTGAAAGAAGGAGTAAGTGAGGCGAGTTGATGGCATCCACTGGAACTGTCAGATCCCAAAGGCCTCCTAAGAGAATTCTCGGGCTTTAGAGTGACCAAGGCAGCTAGAGCACACTGGGCAGCATCCAAGACAAGAAGCTACAGATGGCTCTCGGCATTAACAAAGGTTGCATGTGAGTCAGCAGCTGTGCACTTCCGAGTGCATGGATGTAAAGGAACCAAGAGCAAGAAAAGACCACAGGAACGTCACCAGGAACAGTCCTCGGAGTGACTGCGGCTGTGGTTCCCAGGGCCAGTCTAGGAAATGGATAATTCAAAATGACTACAGCCCACAACCCAAAACATACCCAGGAGCACAGTGAAATTAGCTTTAGCAGGGGAGTGCAGTGGTCTCAGAGTTAAAGCCAAAATGAATCAGTTTCTCCCTCTGCAACCAGAGTGAAAAACCTTTCTGAGATACGAGATGTATAGCTATAAATCCAGGATGCTCTCAGCAAATCAAATTAGATGATCAACCTGAAAAGATCAAGACTATTTACAGAAATACAAAATATCCAATCACTAATATGGAAAATTTCATTAAAATCTGTAATTCAGTAAATAATTACCAGGAATACAAAATTAACAGGGAAATACAACCAATAATAAAAATGCCGGAGATGAGAATTTATTAAAGAATTTTGTAACTGTATTATGCCTGTTTAAATAAAAAGAAATATGTGCCTGTGTTAAGGGGAATGGGACATTTAACCTTCTACAGTTGAATAGCACAAAGGACATGATGATATATGCAGCAGATTGGATTAGGGCCAAATTAGATAAGTATGAAGGAAAAGTTTGGTGTACTTGAAAACACAAAATTATTCAAGAGAAACACACACACACACACACTAGAGAGTGGATATTGTGAGCAGGCATTGTATGAGACATAAAGTCATTTTAAGTTGTTATCATTAGCCTACAAGAGAGTATAAGAAAGGAGATGAGAACAATTATTTGAAGAAACAATGACATAACTTTTCTGAATTTAATGAATACTAAATTTAAACATTCAAAACTCTCAAAAAAAATCCAGAAACAAAAAACACTATGAAAGCCACAAAAATATGTCCTAGGTAAATTTTTTGGAAGTGTTGAAGTCAAACATTATTTACAGACAGATAAGGAAATAGGGTTCTCTGAAATGGTTTAAGCCTGAACACAGTGGACATACATCTTTAAGTCATGAAAAGGGAAACTTTTCTTTCAAGCAAGAATTAATACCACACATTTTTAATATAGGAAGACAAAATAAGAGCTTCTATAGGCATACAAAAGCCAAAAGAATTCAGCAAGAGCAGATTTATGTTACAAAAGTATTAAAAGAAGTTGTTTGAGGTGCTGGAACAATGGACTCCTGCTGCTCTTGCAGAGAACTGTGGTTCAATACCCAGAACACACACGGATGCTCACAATTCTCTGTAACTCTAATTCCAGAGGCTCTGGAACTCTCTCCTAACTTCAGTAGGCATCTGGCACATATGTGGTGCACATATACCCATGTAGGTAAAACAAACATTAAAAACAAATAAATCTTCAAAAATAATTATTTAATAAGTTGTCCAAGCAGAAGGAAAATGGTAGCAGCGAGGAACATAGACCTTTGCAAACTAAGGAAAGACAACAAATACAGCCACCATGTTGAGACACTAAAGGGTTTCTGTCTCTCACTCTGTTTTCTTCTATCTCCATATGCATCCCAGAGAGCAAAGTCAGGTGAAGTCATGTAGTAGCTGGCCCTTCATTACATTTTCTAATATTATGCATAGAAAGACATAATCATTTCGAAAATATTGATGTTGGGGGATTGTAGCATGTACAACATTTAAATGTGCATACACAATATTGCACTATGTACATTACACAACAATTACATGAGGTAAGGGAACAAGAAGGACAACAAAGTAAGGCTTCTGCAATATATTTTAACAAGGATACTGCTGGGACATGTGTCCTTTGGCTAGGAAATGACCTAGATGGCTCACGTGTTGTAGGCTTTATCACTAGTGCAGTATCCAATGAGGAACACTGGGAAGTCATTGATCATAGGGAATCTGACCTAATCAATACAATAATCCATTCTCAAAAGCATTATTGAATGGACTGTTGGGAGGTGTAGAAGCTATGGAAGGTGAGGCCTGATCAGAATTGCATCGCTTTGAAGAGCATATCTTTGCATCACATGCATATACTTTTTTACTAGTCATACACTGTAACTAAAATTAATTGGTGTTCCTGATAGAACTCCTCACTTACTTCTCTTTGATTGTTTGTTTTGTTTCGTTTTCAAGACAGGGCTTCCCTGTGTAGTCCGGAATGTCCTGGAACTGACTCTGTAGACCAGTCTGGCCTCACACTCAGGCACCCGCCTGTCTCTGCCTCCTGTGATTAAATAGAAGCAACACCAGTGCCCTACCACTATTTATTTTAATGAACAGTTTTTAAGGAACTCCATAGTTGAGTACTGCATTTACATCATTTCGACCATTCCCTCTCTGCTTCCACTTATTACGAGGTGAGAAGCTTCACACACTGGGCCCATCACAGACCTAGAAATAACAGAAGCAGATAATTGAAACCTCTGAAACCATGAGCAGACACACCATTACTCCTCCAAACACCCTTCACATGCTTGTCACAACAAGAAAACCCCAACAACATATATCGTAATAATATTCTCAGGTAAAGAGTAATAAGTCGAAAATATATGCAATGAACTCTAGAGCAGCCTCTAACAAGTGACACAGAGTTAATAAACTGCAACAGGAAAAAATATGTCATAAAAATGAAAAGGGGACAGAGGGAAGAACAGCTGAGAAAAGCTGTCGAAATATGGCATGTCATATTCAATCATTTTGGTAATGATTTCATTTAAACTGCCTAAATTATGAGGCAGATTTGTTTGTATTGTGGCTCAGAGTCCACCAATGGAGCTAAACCTTGATTCAGAGGGTGGAATCCCTGTTCTGAAAACCAGAATAAACCATAGTGTTTTCTAGCTGGCCCAGACGAAGCTAAAGAGACATAGGGAAGAATAAGAAGGGACTTGGAAAGTTTCATGGGTCTTTTCGACATAGGAAGTAGGGAAGTGGAGAGGAGCATCAGCTGATCACTTCATTGTTCTGTGGTTCTGTCAGGTTTATACCCTAATATCTGCCTCCTCAGCTTTATTATTAATAAATCAATGAAAGCTGCCCCTCTAAAGATTGGTTAAAAACTGGAAATGACCATCCTCAACAAAGAAGCAAGATTTAAGCACATATAGCTTACAGGAAATACAGTTGAAATATCAATGCATAAATAAGTAAAAAGAAGAAAATGCAAAAAAATACACATTGCTAAAATATTGAAAAGGAAGATGCCTTCATCATATACCTTGAATTGCATTTGCTGGCAAAATGTTGCTATAAAATAGGAGGGTACGGCTTCACAGAAAGAACGGCCATTTACTAACAGTACATGAACAGCTTTAATGGGCTTGTATAAGAAAGTGACAATATACAAGAATCAAAACTTGACAGAACTGCAAGCAGATATATCCAGAACCCATAATTACAGTTGAAGATTTAGGGTCAGAAACATGACTCAGTGGATAAAGGTTTTGTTAACAAGCATTATAACCTGAGTTTAATCCTTGGGTGTCATATAGTGACAAGAAAGAACTGATACCTGCAATTGTTCTCGAATCTCTTAAGTGCACCTTGCCACGCACTCAACACACTACATAAAAAAGTAAAGTCATTTGTAATAACTATTGTTTCTCTCAAAAACAAACACAAAAATTAAAATCAAAGCCAACAACAACAATAACAATAATAATAATAATCACATTAAAAATGGAATCTGTTTTGTACGGAGCCAACCACCACTGGGCATTTGGCCTGCCCTGGAATGTGGTTGATATGCCCTGTGTCACCATATTAGAGAAAACGTATCTCCCTTTTCCCAGCAGGTATTAACTGCAAATAACTCCTTTGTTAAACATGGGAAGTTTTGTCCACTTCCCCCTTCTCCATGCTGAGATTTTTGTCTGACTTGATTGTAGAAGGGCTTGTGAATGCTGTCAAAGTTTCTGTGAGTTCAGGTGAGTAGCAGTCCTGTTGTGTCTCTGTGGATGTTTGGATAAGAATGGCCCCCATAGGCTCACCTATTCGCATACTTTGTCATTAGGAAGTAGAACTTTTTAAAAGGCTAAAAGGATTGAGGGATGTACCCTTGTTGGAGGAAGTGTGACACTGGGCTTTGAGATTTCTCTCTCTCTCTCTCTCTCTCTCTCTCTCTCTCTCTCTCTCTCTCTCTCTCTCTCTCTCTCTCTCTCTCTCTCTCGCCACCATGATGATAACACACTAAGCCTCTAAACTGTGCATAACGCCCCAGTTAAATGCTTTCTTTCCTAAGAGTTGCCTTGATTATTGTTGTCTCTTCATAGCAATAGAACTAAGTCTGGAAGACGTTGTTTTCTTGGAATCATCCACCACTTCAGGTTCTTACAATCTTTCTGCCTCCTCTTCTGAAAAAGAAACAACATGAATTTAGGTAGGCATGTGAAGATGATATGGTGGGCATTTGGGGAGGGGAAAGAATATGACCAAAATATATTGCATTAAAGGGATTTAATAAAAATATCGTTGAAGATTTAATCACCCTTCCTTATTAAGCAACAGAATAATCAAACCTAAAAATCCATAATGGCAAAAAGACAAATGAAAGTATGAAGCACTTGACATAACTGAAAAATAGAAGACTAGAATACATGCTCAAGAAAGACAGGTCATGGTCCAAGGTAAGCTTCATTCTGAACCATTAAACAAGTTTGAATTAAATTTTGAATACAGAATGTGTGCTTCCATCACAATGGAAATAATTTAGACGCTACTGTTAGGAAATATGTGGCTGATTTTGTAGTATTTTTTAAAAACAAGACCCAGCAACTCCACTCTTAGGCATATATCCAAAAGATGCCCATTCATACAACAAAGATGTCTGTTCCACTATGTTCATAGCAGCTTTATTTGTAATTGCCAGAACGTGGAAGCAACCTAGATGTCCCTTACCTGAAGAGTGGATAGAGAAAATGTGGTACATCTACACAATGGAGTACTATTCAGCAGAAAAAAATAATGGAATCATGAGATTCGCAGGCAAATGGATGACACTAGAAGAAACCATCCTGAGTGAGGTAACCCAGTCACAAAAAGAGAAACATGGCATGTACTCTCTCATATATGGATTTTAGACATAGATCTGGGGAGTGCCAGCCTACAATCCTATGGCCAGAGAGTCTGGGAAACAGAAACTTTATTCAGTGGCTGATCGAAGAAGAGGCAGACTCCCTTGGTTAAGTACTGAGCTGAACTCAAGAAAGCCAGTAACAGAGAGGGAGGACTGATGATCAAAGGGATTAAGACTGGGCTGGTTTAACCCCCCAGAAACAGCTGACCAGACAAAGGTTAACTCTTGAATCCCAGGCATTAGCCTGGGAAGCCAGCATGGGACTGATCAAGACCTCCTGAATCTGGGTGTCAGTGAAGAGGCCTAGGGAATCTATTGAGCCTTGGGCAGCAGATCAGTACCCATCCCAAGTATACACATGGACTTTGGACTCCAATAGAACAATGTGAGGTGCACTCTCACCCAGAACTCTTGGGAAAGGGTCTAGGCCCTGCCCTATATGAAATGACACACTATGGACACCCCCATGGAGGGCCTCACCCTCCCTGGAGAAATGAGAGGATAACGGGGGGGGGGGCACGGGAGGAAGGGAGGGAGTGGGAGAGGGACCTGGAACTGACTTGTGAAGCAACCTTGATTCTTATCTAAATTTAAACTGGAAAATAAAATTAAAAAAAAATTAGCATGCATGAAAATAATACTTTGTATGAAATAAATATAAAAGACAATGTAGGAAGCTTTTTGAACTGGATCAGGACAAATCTCACAATGCCATTTACTGTGATACTTATAATGAGGAGAGGGAAGTCCACACTAGTTAGTACTTGATTTAGAAAACAAGAGGACAGCAAATTAGTATTGTTAACCAAAAGAAAGAAAATATAATGAGTAAAATTCACAGCCATGAGACAGATAGCAGTAATGGAAAATCTTTGGAGGCTGGAGAGATGGCTCAGATGATAAAATGAGAAACTGAGTTCAGTCTTAGAACCTAGGTTAATAAAAACAATTAAAAAGGCTTGCTGCATAGCATGTGCTTATAATCCCAGGACTGGGGATGCAGAGATAGGCAGCTCCCTGGGGTTTCCTGGCCAAGCATAGGTGAGCCCCAGAAAATCAGAAACCCTGTCTCAAAAGGCAAGCAATGGCACTCAGAGAAAAAATGTTGCCTGAGGTTGCATTCTGGCCTTTCCATACACACACACACACACACACACACACACACACACACACACACAGTGGGGGGGGAGACCAATCAGTGAAACCAAACTTAATTTTTTAAAGAACACTCTAACAGAGCCGGGCGGTGGTGGCACACGCCTTTAATCCCAGCACTCGGGAGGCAGAGGCAGGCAGATCTCTGTGAGTTCGAGACCAGCCTGGACCGACAGCCTCCAAAACAATACAGAGAAACCCTGTCTTGTAAAACCAAAAAAAAAAGAAAAGAACACTCTAATAGTGACAAATCTCTAGCTATCTTTAGCATAAAATAAAAAAGAGAAATAAATTATGATCACTAAGAACATTCTCTAGATATCATGGAAATAATGCATAAACATGAACTTTATGTCAATTAGTTTTACAACTTCTATGAAATGCACCAATTCCTTGAAATACAACACCTAACAATCCTCAAATGAGAAACAGATCAAGTCCATGACATCTTGTATGTTAGAGAAATTAATGCATGTTTTAAACTGTTCTTCAAATGAAAACACAGACATATGGCTTCGTTAGCAAATACCGCTGAGTGCTTATGGGGAAGGCACCAGTTCTTCAAAAGTAAGTATTTCCTGATTCAAGAGAGAGATTTTCCCTATGTACTCCAGAAGACCATCACTACAAATGCACCAAATTGTCATACACACCAAAGATGAAAACTAAAGCAAAGAAAACACATTTCTTGAATAAAGAAGCAAAATTTCTAGATTGTGATTCATTAAACTGAACACAATTGTGAAGAAGTGGGTTTATCATAGGTTGCCTTTCCTCTCAAAAATAAATCTCTATAACCCACCACTTACTAAAATGAATTCGAAAAACGCTGGAATATATATTTTAATACTTGAAAATACAAGTGTTTGACAAAGTCCAGCATCTATTTCTGGTGAAAAAGTGAGTTTATCTAACTGAGAATGGAGAAGGCCTGGTCATGTTCATCCATGAAAAAACTACCATCAAGCTGGGCAGAAGCAGGAAAAACAATTTCCTTCAGCACCTGTAATAAAAGCTCTTTCAGAACTGCCCTCCCTTCTTCACATGTAACACCCAACACAGTTCCAAAGTTCCCACTTTTGTCTTCAAAGTAATAATAAATCCCTGTTCTTGAAGGGGACCCAGTTGGTTTCCAGCACCCACATCGGGGAGCTTACATAACTCTCAGGAACAGAGCTCTATCGTTCTCCTTAGACACCTGTACTTATGTGCACATACCCCATATGACACATACATATGATTAATTAGAAATAAAGCTAATTTTAAAATGAACCTTTTATTCCAACCTTGACAGAGGCTGGATAATATACAAAAGGTGCCATCCTGTATTATATACAAATGGGCAAAGAGGGATGAGAAAGTGAAATTTATTAAGAAGCAGCATCACAAGTGCATGCCGAAGAATTTATAATATAACAATATTGACCAAGAATGTAACTAGGTAAAATGCAGTCACATTTTACATTTGATGTGTGCAGCTTATTGGATTGAATTATTGAGGCCCCTACAAACTATTATAAAACAGCAGGATGCAGGACTGAGGACGTGGCTCAGTGAAGAGGAATGCTTGCTGCTCTCTTAGAGGACTGCAGTTGGACTCCCAGTAGGCAGGTCGGGCAGCTCATAGGCTCCTTTAACTTCAGATCCAGCCGGGCGGTGGTGGTGCACGCCTTTAATCCCAGCACTCAGGAGGCAGAGGCAGGCGGATCTCTGTGAGTTCGAGGCCGGGCTGGACCGGTAGCCTCCAAAAAAATACAGAGAAACCCTGTCTCGTAAAAACCAAAAAAAAAAAAAAAAAACTTCAGATCCATCCTCTCCTGGCCTCCTCAGGTACTTGAACACACGTAACACACAACACACACACACACACACACACACACACACACACACACACACACAAAATCACTTTTAAAAATTAGAAACTGCCACTTTACATGTTATCTTATCATGCCACTTAGTTCCGTGTTACAAGCAAATGACTTGTTTATGTATTAAGTATTGCCCTGTTACTCGTTGCATTACCTGTGAAAATAGATGCAACACTAAATTAGGCTCAGCATGTTTCAAAGGGCAGTTATTCCCACTACTAAAGAGTAAGCATTGCAGCGTTTTACAGTACAGTTATCTGTATACTTGCCTCACCTTGTGGATTAAAGATACCTACAGAATGCTAAACAGTACATCTTAATATAAAAAAATGGCCATAAGCAGAAAAACGCATAGTTACTTGCAGTATTTCTCTGAGAGTAAAAGTATGTCTAAGAGCTGCCTCTCCTGCTTCACAGACATATACTCCATAGATTCCCAGAACCTCCATTTTGGTGATATATTGTTTATAATCTAATAAAGCTTGCTTGAAAATCAGAGAAGCAAAGTAGCCAGCCACCACAGAGTTCTTACCTCTACCAAAGCTCAGACAGAAGGGGCAATCCACCAAAGCTCAGATTGCATCTCTAGACTTCACAGCTCCTCATCAAATCTCAGACTGGTCCTGAGACTGCACTAAGCTCCTTATATTTTCTCTAGTGCTGAGATTAAAGGCATGAGCTCTGTTTCTCTTTTAGACTGATTGACTCTCATGTAGTCCATGGTTGTCTTGAACTCAAAAAGATCCATCTGCCTCTGTCTCCCAAGTTCTGGGATTAAAGTTGTGTGCCACCACTGCCCAGCTTCTAAGGCTGGGGCCAGCATTGCAGTCTGATCTCCAGGCAAGCTTTATTAGATCATAAACAATATATCACCACACTTCATTTTTTCTTGCATTTTAAATACATTATTTTTCTTTGGTCTAGCCTTGGCATAGCAAGCACTGCTGTTTACATTGGATTTAATGACTAAGCAGCATGGATAAGCATTTCCCTAAATGTAAATCTACAATAAAGGTATTCTCTAAGTTCACATTCGCCATGCATTTCTCATTTAGTCATTTTAGATGAGCGAAGCTCAATTGAGAAAATGCCTCCTCCATTTTTGCCTGTGGTTTACTTTTTTGATTGAGGATTATTGTGGAAAAGTCCAGTTAACAGTTGGCAGTGCCACCCTTGGGCTGGTTGCCCTAGGTACCATGCAAAAACACAGGTTGAGCAAGCCAGGAAGTAGCACTCCTCCATGGCCTCTGCTCCA